AATGTTCATATGAGAAGCTGGGCACAATAAATGAGAGCCTTGCCAAGGCAAAATTTCCAAATACCAAATGCAGAGCAGTCCTTGATATATTGCAGAAAAGTAAAAAAAAAAACAAAACCTAAATGACACTGGTGAGCATATCAACAGTGCTGGATTGCAAAAACAACAAAATAATATCTTTAAAATTTCAAAGAAGAATATTCATCATACCTGAATATTATACCTAGCCAAACTATTAATTAAATGTGAAGCTAGAATAAAGACATTTTCAAGTTGGCAAGATCTCAAAAAAGGAACTTCCTCTGGAAGGTTCCATGTTTTCTTACTGCCAAGTATTTCCTTATGTTGGCATTAGCTTACATTACTTATTAGGCCTCTTGCCACTTTCTATTTATAGGCTAAACTCCACCTCCATTCTGTAAGGACTTTCTGTTCCTACCAGCAGGGTGCAGTCTTCCCACCCTGATGCTCCTGAGTCCCATATTGTACTTCTACTCTACCTATCATCATGATTTAAGGCCAAGACTTTTCTCCCAAAACTAACAATAGACGCTTTCTGCAGGCTGCCTATTTCTTCTTTATGGCTCTGGTCTTGTAGCCCATGTACTCACCAACTGTGCCTGATACATTTTCTTTAATAAGCAGACATTCACTGAGGAGAGAACAGTCAATTTAAAATTTCACATCAATCCATTCTACTAAGAATACTGCATTGAGCCTACTTCATGTCTGTTCCAAATCCCTTCCTCATCCGGACTTTCTAACTCAGAGTCTCTCTGCATACTGAGCAGAAGGGATCAGTTCTGGAGAAGAGCAAAGAGGAAAAAAGTTATTCTTTCAATTAAAAAAAGAATGGTCAGATGACCCAGCAATTTCACTCCTAGATATATACGTACGAGAAATGAAAACATATGTTCATGCAAAAACTTGTACTCGAATGTTCCTAACAGCATTATTCACAGTGCTAAAAGTGGAAACCACCCAGATGTCCACCGAATGATAATGGATAAATAAAATGCGATATATACATACAATGGAATATTATTGGGCAATAAAAACGATACTGGCATATGCTACAGCACGACAAGATGAACACTCATCACTGAGTGAAGGTAGCCAGTTGCAACAGACCACCTACTGCATGATTCCATTTATATGCAATACCCGGAGCAGATAGATCTACAGACAGAAGGTTGGAGAGTGGTTGCCTAGGACTGAGGGAGTTTGGGAAGAAAGAGGAGTGAGTGCTAACTTGGAACATGGGATTTCTTTAAGGGGCAATGAAAATATTCTAAAATCGATTGTAACGACGGTTGCGCACTTCTGTGAATATGCCCAACACCACCACATAATATACTTTCAATGAGTGAATTACACCTCAATAAAGCTGTCTTTTAAAAAAGATCAATATGGGAAAAAATTAAATCCATGTATTACTTATCTTGAAGGCAAAAAAAAAATTCAAAGAGCATCACCTTAAGTAAGGCAAGATTTGCAAAGCATGGCTAAACTGAAAAGGAACAAAACATGCATTTAGGATGAAAACACCAAGTCAAAAGGAAAAAAAAAAAAGGTCATGTCAGCTGATTTTTCTTTGCCTGAAATTAATACATAATTTGCTCACTGCAGAGTTTACTAGTTTAAGAGAAACCATAACAAAATGCAAATGAAAAGTACTGGCTTTTACTAGAAGCACAGAGTGCCTGGATATAGAACCTTTTGTAGGTCACTTAATTTAAAAAGGCAGCGTCTCTAGTTTCACTACTTGCCAATCACTTTATTTCACAGACCTGTTCTTAAGGGCAATTAATGGGTAATGTAGTTCATATGTAAAGAGGGCCAGGATCTGAAAGTACTGCTGAGGTTTATTCCAGGCATTCGCACAGTGATCTTACTGCATGTGATCTGTGGGGGCAGTGAGATACAGCACCCACTGAGAAAGCCTTCCTGTTGGAGGGATGCTATCTATGATGGTTACAACAGAAATGTGGAAAACTTTTGATTCTTCCAAAATGGACGTGCTAAATGTTTTAAACTATCTAAAATTAAACGATGAATTCGTATATTTTTAAACTTTAAAAGCTTCATTTTAAAATAGGGCCGACAAAGTCATACTGACATAAAGCCATGGTGGATGGGGAAGAGATAAAATAAGCTAATGAGGGGCACCTGGCTGGCTCAGTTGGAAGAGCACGCTGACTCTTGATCTCAGGGTCATGAGTTCAAGCCCCAAGCTGGGGTTTATTCAAGAATAAAATCTTTTTAAAAAAATAAGACATCTCTAATTCTCCTTTTGCATTCCTTCTCCGGGAGTCCTGGAATTAATAAACCAGACCTACCAAGCCATGATTTTCAAATAAAGTACACTTAAATCCTAGTCCTTCCATGGTCTTTCAGAATATATTCAAATTCTCACTTATCCTAGTGTAACTCATTTGAATACATCAGGGTTTAAGATACGGACCTAATGGGCGCCTGGGTGGTGTAGTTGGTTAAGCATCTGACTCCTGGTTTCAGCCTAGGTTGTGATCTCAGGGTCATGAGATGGAACCCTGTGTCGGGCTCCTCTCGGAGCGTGGAGTCGGCTTGAGATTCTCTCTCCCTCACCCTCCACCTCTCCTGCTTGTGCTCTGTTTCTCATATAAATAAATAAATCTTTAAAACAAAAAAAGATATCAACCTAATTTTAAGGGGAAAAATGGATATAAAAAACATTTTCATTAAACAGAGGAAACAGTTCTTTGTTTTAAATTCTCTTCATTTTTCTCTTCTCTTCTAGGTTATTTGTAATGATAAACTTTTCAGTCTGTGTGAAAGGAACATGAACCTGGCTTGATTTGGGATCAACATTTTGGTCCACGCTGGTTAAAAGATATTCAAAATTTCTATGCAGCTATGTCACTTCTGAGGACTTACAACACTGAGTTATGGACAAAGTCCTCCCGTTGGATAACTAAAGATTCTGAAAACCAAACCTATAAGGCAGTGGGTTTGTATGACGATGTGATATGAATCTGAGAAACTGGTTAATTTTGGCATGTGAAAAAAATCACATGAATAAATGAGTGCAAATAAAACACTCTTATTTCTGGAACACAGACTGTTATTTCTTTTTTTCCAGACTCTTCTTTGCACCCCGGTGCAAAATATAGAAGAATTCAGATTCTCGATCTCAACATATATTAGCTACGCTGCAAACTCGTGGCAATGTACTAGTCATACATCCGTTGTTCAATCTCCTCCATTACTAATATATATATATATATATATATTTTATTGTGTAAGAACATTTACCAAGAGATCTACCCTTTTAACATATTAAGTGCAAAGTACAGTACTATTAACTCTAGGCCACGATGTCACAGGACAGATTTCTAGAATTTAATCATCTTGCATAACTGCAACTTTATATCTGTTGATTAGCAACTCCCCATTTCCTCCTCCTCTCAGCCCCTGGCAACCATCATTCCTCTCTGCTTCTAGGAGTTTGACTGCTTCCGATGCCTCATATAAGTGGAATCACACGGGATTCATCCCTCTCTGGTTGGCTTATTTCACTTAGCACAATGTCCTCCAGCTTCCTCCATAGTGTCTCATCATAATGTTGTAAATGGCGAAGCTGGTAAAGCAGATTAGTTGATGGCAATCAGGCCACACCTTGCTTTATCAGCACCCTGTTCCCGCTGTTTATGACTTGTAGTCAAGACTGTGTCAGATCTGGAAATGATTTCCCTGCCAGCTGAGGTGAGAACACTGTTTTGATGTATGGAAAGACTGCTTTTTAAAAGTCAAGGCCTCCTGGCAGTTCCTCTGTAAACTACTATGGCAGCTGTGCTAGAGGCCATGAATATTACATAAGGGCTGTCCATGCATTCAAGCCAGAATCTCCAAGCCACAATTCCCATAGCAACACACAGAGATTTTACTCATCTCAGAGATGAAGCAGCCAGCAAAAGTGCCTAATGCCACCCGATTTTTTTTTAGCAAGATCAACACAGTACTTATTCTTTTTCCAAAGCAATAATTTGTTCAAAAGAAAACCAACGACCGTGTGAAATGTGTTCATTTCAAAGTTACCCAGTATCACACAAACCAAGGTACTGTAACCCTGAACAACAATCTATGCTTTTAGAAATAGCTGCCATCTGAATGGCTGCATGGGAAAAAGAATTTGAACCTTCACAATCAGTGAAATGAACCACCGTCTTGGCTAAATATTGTACTTAGAGATTTTATATCTGATTTCCAGTCCCCTTTCCATATATACACACTTTATTATAGGATGGAAAAGAACATGTTCCAAGGGAAGAAACCTTTTTTAAGATTTTATTTATCTATTCATGATAGACATGGGGGGCAGGGGCAGAGACACAAGCAGAGGGAGAAGCAGGCTCTATGCAGGGAGTCCAATGTGGGACTTGATCCCCGGTCTCCGGGATCACGCCCTGGGCCAAAGGTAGGTGCCAAACCGCTGAGCCACCCAGGGATCCCCGGGGAGGAACATTTGTAACTAATAAAATCCTTTACTGCTTAATTTTTGAGGAGCATAAAGCAATCCATTTTTTTTTTTAACAGAAGAAAATACTACTACACAACACCTATGGAGTAAAATTTGGGGGAATGATTGCTCAAGCCTAAGAAAACACACATTACCTTGAAGAAAGTTGTTTTTCTAAACAGAGAAATGGTTTACTGGAAGCAGGTTCTTCCTCTTTGTATATTTGGGGATCCTTTTTTGGGTGTCTACACTGTCCACCCACAGAAATGAGCTGGTTGGATTATAAAACAACCTAAGAGCCAAGACCACTCTAATATATCACACTTCCTTTTTCTATCAAGGAAATCAAATGCACTCCATTTCTTGTAGTTCTTTAAAAATCAGACAATGAAATACTGTAAGAGACCAAACATACGCTTTAAAAGAAACTTCCACAGGTGGCCCATCACAGACCCAGCAGAATTGGCAATGAAAGAGCCTGGCAGGGGAGAAATGGTTTTACCTTTGCCTTTTCCAACTGGGCCTGGGCCTGTCGCTCTGCTTCTCTGCGCACTGCCTCCCGATCTTCCTCCAAAGAAACATCTGAATCGGATGGACGGCTGGTGTAGGAGTCTGCCGAACCCTGGAGAGAAAAATTTGCATTTTAAAACAGATTCCATCTATGAGGTTTGCCTTGGAAAAGTCTCATTGACACTGCAGTTAGCTTCCTGGATTATGCTATAAATTCCTGAAAAGAGGAGAAAATAATCCATCTTGCGGCAGGTCATCTAGAAAAACCCTGGTATCGTTTGCAGACCCTTCCCTAGCATAGTGGTGCCTACCGAGTTACCATTCCTTCCTCAGTCTTAGGTTCGGATTACCATCCTTTCTGGAAGCCAGAACAAGTTCCCCTGGCATTAGAGCAGCTCGGTGGTGCAGTGCCCGGCTTGAAGGGCACAGGGGGGTTTCAAGGATGACTTCAAGAACAGACTACCTGCCATGGCCCGTATTTACAACTGCAGAGAAGATACGTCTAATAAAAAAAAAATCAATCAATTAATTAATTAAACCCAGAAAGAACATCTAATGAGTTCTCAACTTGAATCCTCCACCACGACTCCCGTTTTAACCCTCAGCATCCTTCGGTACCTTGCCATTCACCTGCCTCCTTCACCGACAAGACTGGAAGGGAACAGCAGCCAGCGACCCTCCATCCTTAAGCCACACATTTTTGTCAATGGCTTTCGGCAGCCGTTTCATCAGAGCTGTCTCAAGAAAACACCTGCCCGGGATAGCGTGTCTGGCGATAAATCACAACATAGGAAAAGGAGCTCGGAAAATCCTAGGACTCTCCCCGGCTCCCCCTCTCTCGCAATCAGGATCCTATTACTAAATCACAGGAGCCCCTTGGCAGCACTCACTGCAACGAGGAGCAGGAGCAACGGCAGTACAGAGTCTCCCCTGGACCAAAGCCCCTGAGCTTACACAGATATCCGAATTCTTCAGCCTTCCTCCCTTGGCTCTTTTCAGAAGCCGGATCCAGGTGGCCTTCATTAGCCAGACCGCGCCTTTCTCATCCGCAGCTGCAGCCCCGGGCACAGATCCTCAGTGCGCGCTGAGCCCTGGAGCGCCCCGGCTCCTTTCCTATCCATGCTCCGGGCAAGCCCCTCGTCTCGGTCCCTTCCTGCCTCCGGGGCTTTCACTCCCTACCCCGGAGGACTTCCAATCCACGGAGGTTCTTAGTTTCCCATCCCAGGGAGGGGGGAGTGGAAAACAGACACTCGGATGCCTTCTATATTGCTTTAAAAATAAGGAACACTTCAAGTGCATCCAAAGACAGGCAGCAAGTCGTTCTAAACTTGATGCATCTTATTACTCCGAAGAGTCTCCTCTCTGCTCTTGGATTGTGACAGGAAATTAGTTGTAAGAGACCCTTTTTTAAAAAAAACCTAGTGCAAAACGTATGCAGTGACATTTGCAAGTGCAAAGTTCAAGCCTTATCTTCGGAGATCTGGAGGGGGAGGGCGGAGGACGCACTCACTGCACTGGGCATGCTCCCTCTGTAGCCTTTTTACGCAGATGCCTACATCACACTGTTAATCTATGTCAAATTGCCATTTTGCATCCGAAGTGTAAACAGCTGGAAAGGGCTTTTCGGTTATATAGTAACAGGCGCATGGTAGGTTTGTCATGTTTCGGTTTCGGTCGAAACAGTGTCTCAAAGACAAAGCATGCAGTCTTTTCATTTAATGATCCCTTTCTATTAGTCCTGCTGCAGGGAGCGTATCCTATGCCAGGAGGCAATTCAAAGATAAGCAATATTATGCACACAGCATTGGACGGTAGGAATCCATGAGTGAGTGATGCTCATCAGTCGTAGCATCAACCTGCTCTTGACTGCTTGTGACTTCCCTAACAAGATGCAGGAGACAGAGCTGCCCATTTAATTAGGACACGAAAGTAATCACAGCTCTAAGCCACGAGCTTAACCGAGCTCAAAATGACTTTGAACTGCTTCTCCAACTGAGAAACCACCGTTTGAAAGAAAGTCCTTAGAATAAATAACAGTGTGAATGGTCAGGACCACAATTATGAAGAGATTGCAAAGCTTGGTTGATTTATTACTAGCTCGAGTTAAGAGTTTACAGAATAATTTAGTCCAAGTAAATAAAGTGACTGAAACTTGGGATGATACTTATTCATTTTTGCTACTAATGGGCTTACGTTTTTAAAGTTTTCGGAAGAAATGCACACTCCTAGATTTCTTACAGTAAACATGAAATTCCATCACCGCATTCCTAACTACAGCTTTATTTGCGTGGGGGTGGGGGCGGGGGGGTTATTTTGTCAAGTCTCATGCAAACGAAAGAGGTTTTTAAAAAAATCTTTGTAATTACTTCTCCCTTCCTTCATTCCTCCTTCCTCCCCCAATTCCTTTCATCTGGGGACTAAGACCAATCTTCATTATGTAAATGTTAGAAAATACAGTAGAATAGGGGCTTTAGAATAACAGTTACTGATTGAATGCACCTTAATTGTGGTATCATAAATCAATAAACAAGTTATATTCTTAGGACGTGAATGTAAAATGCATGGGAGATAGAAAGTGCATTGCAATTTTTTATTCCAATAAAATTCACAAGGGACACTGGCATTCTTCTCCATCAACACACATGCTAGGGGATTCCTAATTTCTTCCCAGTGGGGTTTCTTATAGCGAGAGTAGCACAGTAGAGAATTACTCGGAAGAACAACTTTATTCCACAAAGGGCCTCAGGCCCTAGTGTCACAAGTGTAGGCATTTTAAACCCAATCATCTGGCAAAAGGTTCAGTTCACATTTCAGTGAGGATACAGAGTTTCTGTCATTAAGAACCCCTCTGCCCCTAGGAATCCCTGGGTGGCTCAGTGGTTTAGTGCCTGCCTTTGGCCCAGGATGTGATCCTGGAAACCCGGAATCGAGTCCCTGCATGGAGCCTGCTTCTCCCTCGGCCTCTCTCTCATAAATAAATAAATAAAATCTTAAAAATATGTATATCCTTTAAGAACCCCTCCCTCCCATAAGGAGAACAGCCTAACATACACATAATTGTGCGCTATCCCCTTTTCTTTTGAACAAAATAAGATTTAAAAAGTCATTTGCTGGGGCACCTGGGTGGCTCAGTGGTTGAGCATCTGCCTTTGGCTGGGTGGTGATCCCGGGATCCTGGGATAGAGTCTCACATCAGGCTCCCCATAGGGAGACTGCTTCTCCCTCTGCCTGTGCCTCTCATGAATAAATAAATAAAATCCTTAAAAAAAACATAAAAAATCCTTTGTTAATAATCAGATGTAGCTTTTAATTGCACAGTTGTGTTGAGACCTCTTTCTAGGTTTAAATAATAAAGCATTAAAAAAAAAAACACCCCAAACTCTACAGTGACTTTTGGCAAAAATCTTCTTAATATTTGCAACAACATATTAATTTCTGGCTTTTTTTTACAATATGAGATATGACTCCCAACTGAGGTTAAATGTTGCTTATAGTAGGCGCCACTTACTTTCAACATTCTTTGTATCTGTAATAATAATAGTAAAATGGCAAAATATTTTCCTTATGGAACTTACATGAACCCATTGCACAGAGACACACAAATAACCATCACTTTAAATTTTCCCACCCGAAAGATAACCACTATTAAAAAGCAGCATGTTTCGACCTCCAGAATTCCTGCATTTTTGAAAGTCACCCTCCCAACATGTGCATTACAATTAATCTGCTTCCTTCTGGGAGTGTGTGGATTTATGCAGTTAGAAGTAATGTATCTAATTAAGCCTTTGCCTTTGGTACCATATGGACTTTCTGGGTCATTCTGCCTCAAGTAGCCTTCACTCAGGAACAGCTGGCAGTCAGTTCCATAACTCCAGAATAGGTTCATTACAAGATGTACCCTTGATCTCTTGTTGCTACCATGTGATTAGCTGGTCTTTTGTAGTTTTGTCCTTGTGGGTACCTCACAGGTTCAGCTACAAATATTTCCTTTTCTGCATCATAATATATCTCATTCCTCATTGTACAGTTCCACAATGTAACTTGCAGTCTGATGTCTACCAAAACTCATCCAGGATCATTCACTTTTTTTACTCAGAACTCTCATTCCAAACATCTGTGCTTTGCTTATAGGAAAATAAGTCAATTGGATTAACTCGTGCTTTTAAAAAAATTTTATTATTATTTTTTTAAGAGATGGACAGAGAGCAAAGAGGATGGTGGGAAGGGGCAAATAATCTTTTTTTTTTTTTAAGATTTTATTCATTTATTCTTGAGAGACACACACAGAGAGGCAGAGACACAGGCAGAGGGAGAAGCAGGCTCCCTGCAGGGAGCCCAAAGCGGAACTCGATCCCAGGACCCTGGGATCATACCCTAAACTGAAGGCAGATGCTCAACCACTGAGTCACCCGGTGTCCCAAGATAGAGAAAATCTTGAGCAGACTCAATGCCCAGCATGGAGCACAATGCAGGGCTCAATCTCAAAACCATGAGATCATGATCTGAGCTAAAATCAAGAATCCAGGGATGCCTGGGTGGCTCAGCCGTTTTGTGTCTACCTTTGGCTCAGGGCGTGATCCCGGGATCCGGGATCAAGTCCTGCATTGATTGGGCTCCTTGCAGGGAGCCTGCTTCTCTTTCTGCCTGTGTCTCTGCCTCTCTCTCTCTCTCTCTCTGTATGTGTCTCTCATGAATAAATAAAATCCTAAAAATCAAATCAAATCAAATCAAGAATTGGACTGAGCCACCCAGTCGCCCCTAACTCATGCTCTTTATCTACTCTTCAGTTTTTGTCTTTTTCCAATTTATGCCAAATATTTGCATAAAATTTTCACCCTTTTTCTAGAACACATTTGTTTATATTTATAAAGTTTGCTTTTTTGATGCTGTACTCTACCATTTCAATCATATATATTTCCAGCATCATTTTTCTTGAGTGTTCTTGTTCTTGTATTTTCTCTTTTAAAGCCAAAAGGGTAAGAGTCATAAGCTTATTCAGGAGTGGCATCTTAGATCCCAAAGTGGTCATCTATTTCTGTAGGAAATCTTCATATGAAGACTACCCCAATGCTCTTGGGGAAAATCAGTTTCTCACAGTATCCCAAGGCTACCCTGTTTCTAGATAAATCTATGTTCCATCCAAAACCCTCAAGACTTCAAATGACCCTCCTCATGTATGCTAAGCCAATGGCAAGTTTGATTTCACTGGTTTCCTCCTGACCTGCCATGAGATAGACAGACATCCTGCTGCCATACTCCCCAGGCCTGCACTTTTAGAAAAAAACAAAATGGTCCAGACTTCTGAGGCCAAGGACCAATGGAAAAGAGTTTTACCTTGTACTGTCTGCTTGCATTAGTGGGTAGAGATAATTCTTTCATTTCTCATATTGTCACCTTTTTTCACAGTTCAGAAACATGATTTTTTTTTTTTTTAATGTGAAGAGGTCTGGGCAGCCTTAGGTGGCTCAGCGGTTTAGCGCCACCTTCAGCCCAAGGCCTGATCTTGGAGACCTGGGATCGAGTCCCATGTCGGGCTCCCTGCATGGAGCCTGCTTCTCCCTCTGCCTGTGTCTCTGCCTCTCTCTCTGTGTGTGTCTCTCATAAATAAATAAAATCTTAAAAAAAAAAATAATGTGAAGAGGTCTGGATCTCTAAGAAAATGAATTACTAACCCCTACATTGTTGAGGTTACAACAAAACCATACACTGTTTACTAACAATGACAATCCCTGACTTAAAAAATTTAAAAAAATGATAGAGACTATTGAGATGACGCACATTTACATGAATACTGTATACTGTAGTTTGCAAATGTCATGCAATTATCATTCATATCCATTCAGTTAATGAAATTCTCAAATGTGATTGGCCTGCCATTTGGCTTAATGTGAAAATGTTAACCAAGGTGATGGTAATAAATCCATGCAAATTCATCTCTGTGTGGTAACTCTGATGATTATGTAAAAGCTAAAATATTAGCTTCAATTTTCTCAAGAGCACAGGGTAATTTAGAAACTGTTAACTACCCTATGTACTGAGGAAAAGACTAAATGTCACCAAAAGCAAAACAAAAACCCAACCACATGCATTTACTGAGTACTTAACGACTTTGCAAAAGAGTATATGCTCTGACTGTAAGTTAAATGCTAGGAAATAGGACAGTGATAAAGATGAAAGCTAAATCACCATCATGGAACCTGATAATCTAGTTGAAAAGGAGACCAGTTTTTAAAAAAATAATCAGAAAAATAATCACAATGAGAAAACACAAAACACGCTGAGAAATAAAATAATGGTGAGCAGAAGCTATTTTA